CGAACATTTTATGGTCCTACGCATTCCACAGACGATATACTAAATACATTTAGAGCACTTAACTTAGTGATTGCTATCAGCATGTGAAGAGACTTTCAACCAGCAAAACATTTTCTGGAACAAATCACCTACCCTGCATTTAATAAATAATTTAATCGCAAAAGTTTTTTTTTTTTTTTTGGCCTATATATCTTCCACCAGGCAAAAATTGCACGTTTGATCCCTCAGAACAGTAAAGTTGCATGATTTGAGCAATCATTCATGTTTTGTCAAAGTTTAGGGGTTTATTAATATCCCTAAGTATGAGCAATAGTAAAAGAGTTGCTTCCTAGCAAACACCACACATTTGTATTAATTTAAAATGTTATTAAATTAAAGGGATAGTCAAAAATGAATGCAAAATAATATATTTTAAAGAATGTAGCAACTAAACAATTGGACAAAAAATACAATGGAAGTCAATGGGAGCCAAAATTGTTTGGCCATTAACATTCTTTAAAATATCTTCTTTGTGTTCAGAAGAAGAAAGTCAGTCATACAGGTTTGGAGCTATATGAGGGTGAGTAAATGATGACAGAATTTTCATTTTTGAGTGGACTTTCCCTTTAATAGTGTTAAAGAAATAGAAAATATCATTCCTTGCATGCTTTTCATTACTCGAATGTGGGCGTAAAATTACCTGTAATGAGTCGCTATAATTTTTTCTCCGCTTTTAAGAACTTTGATCAAGTCTCGACAAAGCTGTGGGGAAATTCTTGCGTGTAAATGTATTTTAATGTGCACTAATTGCGTCTCTCAATATTCTCAGATGTGGGGGAGGAACCCGAGCTTAACACAAGAGGAAGTTGTTCTGATCAGTACCATTACATTTACTTCCTCTGTTTTCCACTGGCATCCAACCATATTAAAAACAATACATCAAGTTCACCACAATGGCAGAAGTACCGACAAACGTGCCAGTGCTCCCTTGTAAAATATTTGTATTGAATGTGCACTTGTAGTCATCTTAAAAATATATTTAAAAACCTGTACTTGCACAAAATATAATATCAATGAAAAAGGTCATTTGTGTACTTAACAGGTGCACTTTCATGACTTCTACTCTTTTAAATAGTGTACTTTGTTATATGTCAAATTAAACATTTTACTTTAAAGTACATTTTAAATCATTGTTTCAATAAACTTTTGTCATGCTTTACAGAAGTGCACTTTTTTTGATGTGTTGACTAACTAAAGCACATGTAAAGTAATTGCTATAATTTTAACTGTAGTGTGTCTTTCAATTTTTAAAAAAAATATAACATACACGTTTCAATAGAAACATTAAAGTATATTTTAGTTTACCATAAATGGTAATAAATGAAAAAAAAAAGTATTTATGAAATAAAGATATAGGCTACTTAAGTCTAATTAAGTGAGTCAAAACAGCACTCTAAAGTTGCATTTGTTATATTTTCATTCAATTGCAATTAACATGCAATTAAGTGTCTGAAAACATTACATTTTAAGAGTATGCAAAAGTATAGGGCTACTTCTTTTTCAAGGTCTGTTATTATCAACAATTTTACTTCTTCTGAGAGCTTCCTATGAAGTACAATTGAAGCGTGACATGCTGCCAATGCAAATGCATACGAACGACACTGCAATACAAATTCATCATTGTTGACTGCAGACAGAGCCACAGAGACAGGTTTATGGTGCTGATGCAAAGAAAATGATCCTCTTCACCCAACCTGTTCAGCAGCTTCCCACAGGACTGGATTGAAGACACACTGGCAGGCATGTGTAGAGAAAGCGCTGCTGTCCCTTTAAGGGACACTGGAATGCTAGTGTACCCCTCCACCACCCCCCAAAAAAACGTCTGAGCCCTGATTGCACACCTGTGCAGTAGCTGCGATTGCTGTCCAGGGCCTCCTTCTACTGCATTCCAGCCACTAGCCCACACTCCCACTGCATGCTGGGGCTTTACCTGCCAAACGGGTGTATGCGCGGCAGTAGTCGGGCAGGTCCTAACAGGCATCCTATTCCCATCTCAGAAATCCATGGCATGCGGAATACCTCCCTTTTTTTCTCATAGCCGGCCCTGCCTGTGTTTTCATAGGAATGCGATGGATAGAAAAAAATCGTGACACCCCGCACACTTCATGCCTGTGCCTGTCCGCCACTTGTCAGGTTACTACTTCAGCTGTCAAACTAGCCCAGCTTGGGCTGGGGACGTTTTTAAATTTTAGGTACAAAACTAATTAATACAATTAATTCATTCAATTGTGGGCCTTGACTTTTGTTATGGGTTACAAAAGTTTGTTTAACTAGTCTTAAAGAAGCCCTGGCTGCAATAGGTTTTGCTTGTGTGTACATATACAGTGTGTAATCCACTCCTTTTGTTGCTTTCTGGCTTTCTGTACATCCTGTCCTTTTACTGTGGGCAGTCCGGGCATGGTGAGACAGGCTTGTTAGCAATGTTGCGGTTTTTCTGCATTAGCCATAAGCCTTCATGTAAAGCCTGAAGAATACCGTTTTGAGACCCCACCTGTATTTATTTAGCAACTTCATTTGCACACAGTAGTGAAAACACCAGGTGCTCCCAATGTGAGATTAGAAAAGATGGGTTACAATTATAAAGACATGCGAAGTACTCATATCAAGATCAAAAAGATGGTCTAAGTGGATCTACTATTATGCTTGATCTGACATTTTGATGTAGCTGACAACGATTTTATTAGTGGTGTTTGCCAAGCATCAGTATTACTGTTGCTCATTCTTAAGGTTAGTGATTTAAACAACTAAACCTAAATATAAACTTTGGAAATGGATAATACCACAAATGATGCTTAAGAGAAGCATTTATAGGAAAGCCCTGGTAATTTTTGCATGGGCATTGACTGCTCAAATTATCGGAATGGGAAAATCTGGTTTATATACCAAAATGTATAATTATTATTAACCAAAAAACTAAGGTAACACTTTATTTTAGTGTTCTTGTTATGTTACATGTACTTACTATAGTAATAACAGTAAATTAAAATAAAAGTTGAGGTTGAAGTACTAAAATGAATAAAACTGAAATAAAAATATATTAAAGCTTATAAAAAACTAAAACGAACAAAAATGACAAAATAACAAAATTTACTAAAACCTATAAGCATAAAATGACAATTTAAAAATAGCTAATTCAAAATAACACTATAATAGTATTAATCATACTAAAGTAACTACTGTAAATGTGCCTCCTGTTTACTTTTGTAGAGTTCAGTCTAATAACAGGTCAAGAATATCATCACATCTCTTTGAAAGAATCTTGCATTTAAATGACAAAGAAGTCAGAACTTTGCTTCATTGTTCTGGTACTGTTAGGAGTCTCAGTGGTCTTTTGTGAGCATCCAGAGAGCATGAGGTCAGGCTAGGGGTCTTAAGGAGAAGGCAGACCGTGGAGATGTTATCAGACTCATTCTGGCCCCACTGCTCCAGTACACTTACCTGACCTAAAGCAGGAACCCATTGTCTCTGGCCCAGGCTTTTTATTGCTTCTCTTGAATGACTGGGCTATGCACAATTTAAACAAAGGCCTGTGTTTGCTTGCCCAAGGTGTCAGTCCTCAAACTCCCTCACAATGGATGCCCAGTGTTTACACTCCAATGACCTAAGGTTTACCAAAGCTGCCGCAAATTGGTTTGTTTAGAAGGGGTAATGGCAAACATTACATTCTATCACAATAGGTTCATTAAGAAGACAATAACATTGGGTAAACAACGTATTAAGCTCTCCATAGTAGTGGTAGAAACATTGAATAGGCTATATTGTGCATTTCAATTAAGAAAAATAATTTTATATAATTTACAGATTCACATTCAGAATGTGAGTTGTGTGCAACAATCTCAAGTTTTTAAAATATTCTGGGCTCTAGCTCAATTTTCAAATTAAGTCCACAGGATGGTGTTTTCATCCACCAGGTTAAATAAACCCAATTGTTTAGAAAAGTAAAATCATACTTTCCTCAACAATCTGCATAATTTGATATATTATTCATGTCCTTAGCGCAAATGTGTGGCGTAGTACTACATTACGTGCCAAATAACAGTGTAATAAAGGTCAAGCATTAGTGAAATTTAACTAAAACAGCACTGATAATAATATATCATTCTTCACATCATGTTTGGTATCAGCTAACTTCCCATGTAATATGCTAGGTATTGTTGTGTTTTTAAGTTGTATGAGTAGTGTCTTATTTCCCATGTTTTGTCATCGAGTGATGTCACTATGTAGCCTACATGTTCACACCTGACACTTGGAACAAAACAAGATTTTCCAGGGCCTGAAAGTGTGGGAAATGTCACTTGAATTTTTCTCACACAAAATTGCACTTACCTCTTTAAGGACCTGACTGACTACTATTTGTCTTCAGGGCGTGTCAGGTCTTGATGATTTGAATTCTTAAGATTCAAAATAGGATGTGTGTTATTTATTGCGGAACAAGTCAACTGTACACTGTGTTTCTAATATTAACATAGTTAAATTAATTTTATGATGCAATTGTGAATTGAAAATCTTTTGGATTTCCATCTTCTTCTGGATAGTCCATCTTTATTGCACCTGCTAAACTAATCCAGCATTTTGTGGATAAGAAAGAACCACTGTGGACATTGAGACACATATCCCTTTAATATTTAGAATAGTTGTCAATCAATATAGGATTTTCTTCCACCATACTTTTACATTTGGTCAGTCTTAAATATTTGGTTATCGTACCAAACATTAAGATTTTATACTTCATTAAGGAAGGAAAACGGATAAATAACAGACAACTTGTTTCCCGAAATCACACAAAGGCTTTCTCCAATCTCCATCCTGCCCTTCATTTCTAGTAGGCTACACAAACCTATGGTTACAGGTGAGGTGGGCCTTCTAACCTGTCTTCTGACGCGCCAGCCAATCAGCGAGCGTCCTGTCCTCACCTCGACCAATCAGAGCGCTGACCAGCCCCTACTCGAACCCAAATACTTTACACAGGGGGAAAAAAACCCATCAAAGTTTACCTATAGGCTAGGTCTATAAGCAAACAATTCGAACATTAAACGTGGATTTAACATGATATAAAGATTTAAAATATATTTTTGAAACTCAAAATTAGGCTACACGTTAAAATCTCCGAGAAGGACGGGACAGGGTGCTCAGGTGCTTCCTACCTGCTCCTTCAGCCCTTGAGAAATAGGCTAATCAGAGAGGGAAAAGTCGATTTACCTGTAGCCCGGGTTCTGGCATCTCTCACTCGCGCTCTGTCTTCTGTTACCTGCACCGACTTGAAAGTCCAGTTTCACAAGGAAGAACCGCGGAGGAAGAGAAATATGTCACAGGAGACAGACAGGTAAGAGTCATGACTGCGACACAATCTTCCATTACCTCAACACAAGTATCGGAACGTCAACGAGTGCCATTCTGCATGTTTACTTTACTTTCATAAAAGTTAAACATTCTCTCTAAACTCTAAAAAACTTTATTTTATAGGCTAGTCGCATTAGCTATATTAACGGCACATTCAATTATACAGATTTTGTCTGTTTTTATACATAAAAACCACCGCAGAGGGATTTTTTTTTGCGGTCAAAACGCCATTTTTCACGGAGGAAACACCTTGAATATAAGTTAGGCTACATGAGATTCATTCTCATTTATTTACTATTTAAAGACGAAGGTTTATTCGCCATAGTATTTTTTTTTAACGAAAAATAAAGATTTGTGTTTTTTAGCATTTGTGTTCTGTTTTATTTCGTTTATTTCGCTCATTGAGGATCATCTTAATGTGTTTATTACAACGTTTTTTGTTTTAATTAAATATTTTTTGTTTAATGTGAAGTTTGAAAAGATTGTGTTAAGTCGGTTGTTTTAATTATTTTAACCTATAGGCTACAGTGTTCATATGATATGAATCATATCTATTGGCTAATCCACAATAACAACCCGTTTATCTTTTTGTGTGCATGTGGTGACTAAAACACATTTTTGTTTATTAAGACTACGTAAATGGACTACTGGTTTCTCTTTAGGGTTGTAGGTTGTAATACGGGTCTCACATTTCTCAGAGTGTGATAGCTAATTAATCTCCAGGTGTGTCAAATAATTAGATAGAAAACGTAATTTTTGTGCTAATAAATCCACTTTTACTGGGTGAATACATCTAACGTGGGAAACTTTGTGATAATTTGTACATAAAAATATGTTTCAGATGGTTTAGCTCATCACACAAAACCATATTAAATAGCTAAATCACCCACACTACAGATACAAGTAAATAAAAGGTATAGGCTAAATACAAAAACGTGTAATTCCCTTATTATCAAAATATGTCACACTATTTTTTAATATTTTTTTTATATATAGGCCTATAACCTCACATGGTCATAACTTGATTTGCATGAACATACTTGCCTCAATTTACACTGTGGTCCAAATAATCCTCTGAAGTTGTCAAAACTTAGGAACTTAACATATTTTGTCATTCCATATGCTGATTTTTTTGTTTTTGTTTATGGAAGAATAAACACATAATGATAAAGATGAATTAGATTAAGTGTCCCACTTTACCTTATTCTATACTTGCATTTTCCAGTGAAAGACCCCACAGGAGTACGCTCTATCACTGCTCGTGTGTACATCTGTGAGTTTACTAATATGTGTTGTGAAAACACCATTTGTCACTACTACAGACTTCAATATTTTTAGAACATTTTTACTAAACTAAAGTGAACCCAACCCAGAAAAATTGGGTTGGCTTAGAAAAATATATCTATGTAAATATATACCTTAGAATCGATGCATGAAGCAGGGTAAGAAGATGTAGTAAGATGCTCCTCTTGAAAACAGTGTGCATTAACTGTTAAATAGTAACATATTTAAAGATGAGTTTAGCAGAGGATGATGTTGCATCAGTATGTGTGTATATATATATATATAAAATTAGGGGAAATAAATGGAAACATTTGACTATTATAATAATTATTTTTTTTAAATATAGTTACAGCACAGCATTTAAAGTCAGGATTTTCTCACCCTGAGGGTAAGTTGGGTAAGATGACCCCCTCATCTTTCTACATCTTACTACAAGGGGCTCACTTTTATTTTCAAAATAAAAACAAAAGCCAGCTAAAGCCAGCAGTTGTACTTCCTCATGCCATGTGTCATACATTTTAGCTCCACTTGTCTGCCAGGCAGTAAAATGCAGAAGGACATTTGAAGTTTCTGTGGTCAGTATTTGTTTGGTTAGATGTTCTCTGTCATCAATACACATCACACTCTCACAAAAGGCGCAGTGTGCAGGGTTGTTTTCATCAGTATGCAAAATAGAGCTTTTACATGAAGCTTTATCAGTTGGATCATTTATGTTTGTGTTTCTGTCTGTTAGTGTGCTGATATACTGTTTTATGTCTGTGCATGTGCGTGTGTCCCAGTAAGAGGCTGGTTGTAGTGGTGCCCAATGAGACGTCCTTCCACCAGCGTCGGGCCTACACCAGTGAGGATGAGGCCTGGAGGTCTTATCTGGAGAATCCACTTACTGCGGCCACAAAGGCCATGATGAGCATAAATGGAGATGAAGACAGTGCTGCCGCCCTGGGGCTCCTCTATGACTACTACAAGGTCAGTGTCATCAGCTAATGCCTGGTTCAGATTACACAATTTTAGCCCGATTTTGGCACGATCCGTTTGACGTAGGGTGTCGTGGGGATTCGTAAACGACAACGGGCATCGGGACGCAAGATTCGATCGTATCATCTCGTATAGTGTGTCATAGTGGGCGACAACCTACGTCACGTCTGCGATGCTTCACGACATCACGACAAAAAGACTAGCATGTTTAATTTTTTTAACGGTTGTCCACGACGGGTTCCATCACATGTATGAGGTTGACCAATAGGAGCACAGAAGCTTTTCCGTACATAACTTTCAAAAATGGCAAAACGAAAGAGAGACGATTGTGCTACTAGGTGGAGTTATGACATGGAGGAAAGGTTATTAAAAGGAAACAGATATTTTACCTCAAGTTCTCTTTGGAGGATTGACAGCCCATACTGTCCTCTTCGAGCAATCCAGGAACGTGTCCATTGTCGGGTTTTCTTTCTTTTTTTACGTTTTTCTGAACACAGGACAGCCAACACTCACCGCTTCATCCATTGTTTGTTTACGTTCGTTTCCGGAAGTCACTCGCTAGTTTCGCCTTCTCGATGACATCACGCGCGTCGTTAAAGACGGTACTCGATGACTGTTCAGGAAGCAACGTGTAGTCTGACATGTTTCTTGTCCACAACACGACAAGATTTTAGGAGTCAAAATCGCGTAATCTGACTGTTACGGTACACGGTGGTAGGAAGCACGAGGAGACGAAGAATAGAAGTAAACAGGATTTAATTCCAAACTCAGGACAACACTGTAACTTTACACACCAAACACAAACGTACATACGAACGAGAACCGACCAGGAGTGAGGGAGAACACAGGGTTTACATACACAGAGAACAGATTAGGGAAACAAGGCACAGCTGGGGCAAATGAACTAGACACAGGTGAATAAACTAAACCCTAACGAGGAGCGGGAAACTGGAAACAGGACTGAACCAAATACACAAAGAACGGGGAAAACACAGGACATACATGTAACATTAGCTCCCCCTCCTGCAAGGCGCGTCCTCGCGCTGAGTAACATCAATAAGGGTGGGGGGGTGGGCGCCCTGGAGGCTGACGAGGGAGTGGCCTACCCGGAGCAGGAAGCCTCCAGGGCGGAGCAGGACATGCAGGAGGCCAGGGTGGAGCAGGACGTGCAGGAGGCCAGGGCGGAGAGGCCACTTCAGGTGGCCAGGGTGGAGAGGCCACTTCAGGTGGCCAGGGTGGAGAGGCCACTTCAGGTGGCCGGGGTGGAGAGGCCACTTCAGGTGGCCAGGGTGGAGAGGCCACTTCAGGTGGCCAGGGTGGAGAGGCCACTTCAGGTGGCCAGGGTGGAGACTGTCCCTCGGGTGGCTTATATCCCCCCCCCAAAATTTTCTTGGGGGGGGTGACGGGTTCAGAGACAGGCTTGGGGGAACTGGACGGGACCAGCGGAGAAGGCACGGGAGGACTGGACGGGACCAGCGGAGAAGGCTCGGGAGGACTGGACGGGACCAGCGGAGAAGGCTCGGGAGGACTGGACGGGACCAGCGGAGAAGGCTCTGGCTCGGCAGGCGCGCAGGGAAGCTCCGGCTCGGCAGGCGTGCGGGGAAGCTCCGGCTCGGCAGGCGTGCAGGGAAGCTCTGGCTCGGCAGGCGTGCAGGGAAGCTCAGGCTCGGCAGGGCTGCAGGGAAGCTCAGGCTCGGCAGGGCTGCAGGGAAGCTCAGGCTCGGCAGGGCTGCAGGGAAGCTCAGGCTCGGCAGGGCTGCAGGGAAGCTCAGGCTCGGCAGGGCTGCAGGGAAGCTCAGGCTCGGCAGGGCTGCAGGGAAGCTCTGGCTCGGCAGGGCTGCAGGGAAGCTCTGGCTCTGGCGGGCAGGCGACGGGCTCAGGCTCTGGCGGGCAGGCGACGGGCTCAGGCTCTGGCGGGCAGGCGACGGGCTCAGGCTCTGGCGGGCAGGCGACGGGCTCAGGCTCTGGCGGGCAGGCGACGGGCTCATGCTCTGTGTCCCAGTCTATAAGCCAGTCTTCCTCTTTTAGCTCCACCAAAATTCCAACTGGCACGGTGGGCATGACGTGATGCATAGGCATGACGGTCTCGGCAGAACGAGACACTGGACACAGTGGGGAGACAGGAACAGAAATGAGATCTGGGGTTACATCAACGGTGTAGGACGATCCACTCACCCACAGGATGTTGTCGATATATTCCCTAAGGGAACATGTGGTGGCAGTAGCTGGAAATTGCCCAAAGAGTGGATCGTCCAGACCCATCCAGAAGGAGTGCTTGAGGGCTGCCTCTTTCCAGGACACCTGATGGGCGAGGTGGAGGAATTCCTCGACGTAGGTCTCGATAGGATGGTGATTCTGGGAGAGGCTGAGGAGAAGGTCAGTGGAATCTTGAGGGTAGAGGAAGATGCCCATAATGCTGCTGTAACGGTCGGTTCTTCTGTTACGGTACACGGTGGTAGGAAGCACGAGGAGACGAAGAATAGAAGTAAACAGGATTTAATTCCAAACTCAGGACAACACTGTAACTTTACACACCAAACACAAACGTACATACGAACGAGAACCGACCAGGAGTGAGGGAGAACACAGGGTTTACATACACAGAGAACAGATTAGGGAAACAAGGCACAGCTGGGGCAAATGAACTAGACACAGGTGAATAAACTAAACCCTAACGAGGAGCGGGAAACTGGAAACAGGACTGAACCAAATACACAAAGAACGGGGAAAACACAGGACATACATGTAACACTGACACAGTGACTATCGTAACAGACAAAAAAAATCGTGTAATCTGAACCAGGCATAAGACTCTTACTTTCATCATAATAATAATGCTTTTATATTTCACATTATCATTTATTCAGAGAGGTGTTCGAAACCTCTCTCTCTTTGGTGAAACACAAAGTTCAGCAGAATGCTCACTCTGCTCTTTTCATACAATGAAAGTGAATAGTAACTGGGCCCATTTAAATAACTGGGCCTATGTTTAATGCACAATTACTAGGTTTATACATTTATTATCAATAAATCCAATTTATTATATGTAAACCGTCTCTGTTTAAGACTATAACCCTTGTTCCCATTCTCTGCGTGATAGCGTCTGAAGCATGTGTGAAACTAGATGAATACGGATTGGTGCTACATCTTGAAGTAGCTTGTGATGGTGTACATGGAAGCTGACAAAGGAGCGCCGGAAACACAACAGCATTAGCTTATGATAGGCTGAAGCAAGCTGCTCTCAGGCATTCAGGAGGTGTGGCAAAGTGACGCAGCATCTCATTCCCTTCTCAGGGAACAAGGGTTACAGGGTAAATGGTTACGTAAGGGTTACGTAAACCGAGATGTTCCCTTTCGAGGGAACTAGCCCTGCGTCGAAGACGACACTATGGGGAACGAATACCCACTGCGCCATGCTGACTAATGTCTGCCTGCCCTGGTGTGAAGCTAGGGAGCGGGAAGCGGGGAGGCTCAGTCTGCCGCATCACAGAGTTCCTGAAGGGAAACCCCCAAAAACAGGGATTTAGAAGATGCCATACTTCTAGAAGAATGAGCCCTGATTAGCAGAGGCGAAGGCAGGCCGCGCCTTGCGGAATTTGCAGAATAAGCCAACGAGATTGCCTCAACAATCAATTTGTAATAGACAGCTTTGAGGATGGGGATCCCTTCCTAGGCAACCCAAAACATAGTAACTGGTCCAACTTCCTCCAACGAGAGGACCTATGCACATAGGCCTCTAGAGCCCTAACAGGGCACAACAAGTGAAGCTTATCTTAGTCCACTGACACAGGTGGAGGATGGAAATCCTGCAAGACTATAGTGCGAGCCACGTTAGTACGCACCTTAGGTACGTACCCCAGTCTAGGGTAGAGAATGGCTTTCACTCTCCCAGGAGCGAACTTCAGACAGGAGGGAGCGACAGAAAGGGCCTTTAAGTCCCCCACTCTTTTTAGGGATGTAATGCCAGCAAGAAAACCATCTTGGAAGTTAAAAACTTCTCCGACACAGACTCAATGGGTTCGAAGGTTGCCAGGGATAACCCTTCCAAAACCTCAGCCAGGTCCCAAGCTGGAACACTGACATGAGACGCAGGAAGGAAACGTACAACCAAGTGGTAACGATAAAGGTCTATCACTTAATGGTTCGTAGAAGGCAGCTATGGCTGCCACATAGACCTTAAATGTGGACCGGGAAAGACCCCCAGAGATACTATCCTGAAGAAACTCCAGTACTGAAGCCACTGGGCAGTTAACTGGGTCCAACTGATGCTCTCTGCACCATAATGTGAACACATTCCACTTTAAGGTGTACAGTTTCCACATGGAGGGAGCTCTAGAGTTTAGATGGTCTCAACAGCCTCAGCTGAGAGACCAACACCACACTGGTCCCCCTCAGGGGCCAGACCCATAACTTCCACAGCTCCGGCCGGGGGTAATAGATTGTGCCCCCGACCTGTGAGAGAAGGTCCCTCCTGAATGGAATCTCCCAAGGGTGACCTTCGAGGAGCGCTATGAGAGTTCCCTATCCGGAGCAGGAGCGCTGAAACAGGCAAGCACGGTCCAAGAAAGGGCCGAAGCCGTCTCGAGCTCCTCTGCCAGCTCCATCTGTGACCCCCACAATCTGATCCACTGCGACTCTTCGGCGGACACGGGACCCGAACCCCGGGGGAAATGTTTGATGAAGGCCAGGCGGGAGCGGAGTGTTGAGAGCTGCCCGTGCATGCTCTGCTACCAGGCAATGAACACAAAGCTTGTGTGTGTCCCCACCCATTATGTATCTTGGGCAGGGAGGCACACACTGCTTAAATTGCCTTTTGTTCAACATTTCTTCATATATATATATATATATATATATGAATTTGGACAGACAACAATAAATAAGACGGCAGTTTCACACACAGAATGCTTGCTGAAGAACAGAAGCTAACGCTGTTGTGTTTCGACGTGCTTTTGTAATCTTCCTTGTACACTGTCACATGCTACATCAAAACGTAGCACCAATCATGGTTGGTCTAGTTTCACATGTGCTTCAGAGGCTATCACGATGAGGCATTCCTCACAATGTGACGACGCAGCGCGAGTTCCCTCAAAAGGGAACAGTCTTAAACATTTTAACTAATTAAATCTTGCATGTTCCAAAGCTTGCCATATTGGAACTATTCATAATTTGTAACAGATTACACTTGTTTTCACAATTAACAGATGTATGCTGATTTTAAGTATTTGAATAAATACATTTTGAAAATATGATTATTTATATATAATTAAAATAGATGCAAATACTTATATATACTGTAAAAAAGTGCCACATGGTTACTTATACACTTCCACTCTCCATCATTTTTCATCTACAACTAATGAACAAAAACATAATTATTTAATTGTCAATTCAACCAAGGTATAACTTTATAGCTTACATTACCCAAAACATAGAAGCATAGTAAGGATACGGTGAAATTATGGGTAACGCTTTCTTTTACAGTCCTGTTACCCATGTACATACTATGTACTTATTATAGTAATTACAATTACTGGGTAATAACTAGGTACTAACCCTGAACCTACCCCTAAACCTACCCCTAACCCATGTACTTACCTTATATTAGCCAGTACTTTCTAGGTAAGTACACTGTAAGTACACGTAAGTACTGTACTGTAAAAGGAAGCGTTACCAAATTATGCTTATTTTTTTGCTGCATCAGATCAGACAGTTTTCAGTTTTCATAAGTCAATTATTTTATCTCTGTGAAGTGATAAATCTCCAATAAAGCAATTTTAGTGAAACAGTGCCTATGATACTATCAGCACTACTGTATATTGATGTTTTATCTTCTGCAGGTGCCCAAAGATAAGAGAGTTTTACCAATCAGCAAAGTGGTTGAAATTTCAGAGGAACTGGAAAAGAGGTCAGTGAAATTATTAAAACAATGGTGGATATGGACTTGAATAAATGGATTAAAAATGTGACTTATTTCAACTTTAAAAGGGACAGTTGTGGCTTAATGGTCAGAGAGTCAGACTGGTAATGAAGGTTGCGGGTTCGATTCTCAATGTCAGCAGGAAATGACTGAGGTGCCCCTGAGCAAGGCACATAACCCCCAATTGCTGTCCATTGCTCCGGGTGTGTGTGTCCATGGTTTGCTTTGCAGTGTGTATGTGTTCACTACTCACTGCTCCCAATGTGTGTGCACTAACCTGGATGGGTTACATTCAGAGGACACATTCTGTACTTGTCCTTCACATGTCTTCACAAAAAAAAGTGCACACAAGAAATCTTTTATGCTTTCATATATTGTCTTAGAAACACTACAGTGGGAAACAGCAGTCAAATGGAGCCGGAGACAGTGGATAATCGTGTGCAGGTACTGAAATCAGTGCCCGTTAATCTGACACTCAACACGGATCACCAGGACACCAAACGGGAACAGTACAGCGTGGCGGCTGGAGAGAGTGGGGCCGCTGCTGTGGTAAAGGCTGAGGTGTACACTCCTGCTTTCATGGCTTCGGGAGTTCACTACAGGACAGAAGGAGAGGAACATATGCGGGTCATCTGTGAACAGGCCCACTCGTACGACACCTCGGCTGTATGTCATAGTGGATATAGGAAGGATGACCATCGCAGTAGTCCAGATAGCACCTATGAAGAAGACAGCAATGAAGTGAGATTAATATCTGGTGTTTAAGGAATATTTGTTTGTCATAAAACCTGGATGGATTAAGCAAATTAATGGGTGATCATTTCTTTGATGTAGAAGTACCCCCCATCGTCGATTGGAGCTGATGACTTCATATTTGACCAGTCGGATATGTTGTAAGTGTTATACAGAATTTATGTACACCAATAGGCTTGTATTATCATGGTGAATCAGCTCTCACATAACTGAAAAACATGTTGTAATGTTCTTCAACAGAGACACTTTCCAGTACACATTAGAGGCCAGCAGGTCGTTGCGACAGAAACAGGGTGAGGGGCCTATGACCTATCTGAATAAGGGCCAGTTCTACGCTATTACACTGAATGAGACAAGTGCCAATAAACGCCTCCGACATCCCATCAGCAAAGTGAGGGTGAGTGGTGTTCTTCTATCAAACCAGATATTTGAAATAACTAGGAAGGTATAATGTAACAATGTCATGTCATTGAATTATATTAATTTGGGAGCTTTGATTTAATTGTCATATGTATTTTATTGACAGCTCTTTTTTTGTAGATTTTTTGTAGATAAAACTATACTACCTTTCAAAAGTTTGGGGTCAGTATGATTTTTTAAAAGAAATTAATACTTTTATTCAGCAATTGATCAAAAGTGACAGTAAATACATTTAAAATGTTATAAAACAAAACATTTCTGTTCTTTTGAACTTTCTATTCATTAAAGAATCCTGACAAAAATGTGTCAGGGTTTACACACATTTTTTTTTGTGAAAGCACAACTGTTTTCAACTATGATAACCGAAGGCTGGAGGGATTGCTGTTGAAAATTCAGCCTTCTCACCAGGAATAAATTATATATTTGTTTAAAATTTAAAGAGAAAGAGTAATTTTAAATTATAATAATATTTCACAATATTACTGCTTTCACTGTATTATTGATCAAATAAATGCAGCCTTGGAGAGCATTAGACATTTCTTTCAAAAACATTAAAAATTCCCAAACTTTGGTATGACTATATCGTCCGTTCTTGTTATGGTAATAGTTTATCAACATGCTAGTCAGCTCTTGATCATTCGGAATAGACATGAAGTAATTGAGTGGATTGTGATAACCTCTGTTAACCTCCTTTCTCAGAGTGTCATCATGGTTGTATTCAGTGAAGATAAGAACCGTGATGAGCAGCTGAAATACTGGAAGTATTGGCACTCCCGCCAGCACACTGCAAAGCAGAGGGTTCTAGACATCGGTGAGGCTTCCTCTCCATTATTCTGCTCAATGTTTAATCTTGATCTTGAATCACGAATTGCCGACTTACTCCAGTTCAAATATTTGCACATTTGTAATGTGTCCTTTGTCTGACACAACCATTTCAGGTCTCGTAGTTTCTACTAAAGAGCTAATGATCTGAATCAGGTGTGTTTGATTGGGGAGCCATACAAAATGTGTAGTGTTGTAGGTCCTTGAGGACCGGGGTTGAGAGACACTGTACAAACGAGTTGATGAGTTGAATTAGGTGTGTTTGATTATGGAGAATTGGGGATACTACAGGACAATGGTTGGGAACCACTGCTCTACACAAGTATGCAAATGCACAGGCATATGTGCTTGGGCCAATGTATTGCAAGAGCGCAATCTAGTTGTATATAATGTGCTGTATATAGTTTGGTGTACAGCATACTTAAGGGGGCAATAGATTTACTTAAAAAATCTGTGCCATTAAACCAGGGGTGTCCAGTCCTGCTCCTGGAGGACCAACGTATTGCAGAGTTTAGCTCCAACCTGCTCCAACACACTTGCCTGGAAGTTTCTAGTGATCCTGAAGACTTTGATCACTTGAAACTTGGTTCAGGTGTGTTTAATAAGGGTTGGAGCTAAACTCTGCAGGACACTGGTGGTCCAGGAGAAGGATTGGATACCCCTCATTAAACAGAATAGAACAGGTAGCAAGCTATAAGTATGTCAGCAGCAAGGTTCTCTTCAAACTGTTGCTCCACCAGGGCAGTAGTTGACGTGAAAGAATAAACATTTTTGAATGCAGTGACGCATGAGATTCAGATTGTATAACTTGTACTTGTGTATTTATGCATCATATTTTTCCAAACGTCATTAACCACAGTACTACTCAACACTCTTTGGTCTCGCCCTATGAACAAAGTACTTATTGCCTTAAAAATGGTTCATTGTGCATTCACCACTAATTTGAAGACTGATGGTGCCTCACATCCCATAAGCCCTCAGGGCTTTCGGGAGATTGGTTCCTCTTGGTTTTCCCCATCTCAGCTAAAGGGTACTAGGTTGCTAAATGGCTATGCACTACAGATGTGCCTGAAGCCGAATACCTTGTTCAGAAAAAAAAAACGCATTCTATGGAGCCCCTAAAGGGAAATGGTGATGGAAAAAAATATGCTCTTGCATTCTCTTGCAATTATATAGTTGGGTAATTTATTGTATATAATTTGCCGGCATCAGGGAGCCGCTATCAATATGCAAGGTATTAAAAATCACTTTTAAATGCATGCTCGCTTTTTACTTCGCTTTCCAGTTCGTGATCACGTGTACTCTGTGTATAGGGAGCTGCGGTACTGACCACACATTTTACAAGACAAGATATTTGTCAATGACGCTCACGATCTGTTGTGCACCCAATCCTCTGCCATCATCCTGTTAGTCATCTCTCTTTACTATCTTCACATGATAAGTGAAATCTGATGTACTGTAATGTAACCGACTACCGCAGCAAGCCTAACCATGTCCCATTAGGCGTTCCGTAGAATGCGTTATTTATTTTCCGTGCCTTTCCGAATTTGGATTTAGGCTTCGGGCACATCCCTACTATACACAGATTACTATAGAGATTACTATACTATAGATAGATACTAGGCCTGTAGCGGCGCGTCGATGACGTCGACGCTTCGACGTCAAAAATTCGTCGACGTCATATTTTTTTGTCGACGCTTCTTTATTTATTTATGTATTTTTTTTTTTTGCACCGTTCCCGGCGGTACAGCTCGCCACACACACGTGGGAGACCGAAACATTGCAGAATCGAGGATGAAACAGCAACCTCTTCACAGAATTCACAACAAAGCCATCCAAAAGTCCCAACAAAAGAAAAAGTCCTAAAAAAACCCAGCTCGCACTAAATCATCGAAGGTATGGGAATACTTCAAATTTAGTCCCAAACGTAAAGGTGTCGTTATTTGCGCTCTTTGTCAAATGGAGTTGACATCCCAAGTCTCCCGCATAGTGATAGCGGCTCCCTGATGACCGCAAATTAGTTAAAATCTCCCGGAATCTAGAGCTCGCGAGCTCCAAACCGTGTAGCGCGCGCAGAGAGGGAGAGAGCGAGAGACCTTGCGCGTGTGTGTGCAAATGTGCGTGTGTGCCTTATGAAGCGCATGTAAACCCCACCCCCGTCAACAAAACCGAAAAATCAGTCCGGATGTTTTTTATGAGCACTGAAAACATTAAAATGAGCACCACATCCAAGTGTGATAGGGCTCATTTGAGTAGCCTACCAAACATTTTACAGTGTAGATACTCTGTAAGAACCAGATCAAAATTGTTGTGCATTGAATGTGCACTCCTGCAATTTCCATGTTACAAAAAAGAATCGTTCAATTAGTCGTTAGATTAGTCGACTAATTGATAAAATAATCGACAGACTAATCGTTTAATTAATAATCGTTTACCCCAGCCCTAATAGATACAGATTTATTTACAGAAGTATTTGGACAGATTCCCTTTCTTACTAAATCTGTGGTTTTAATTAGTTATTAGTCAAATAATGATGGTTTCTAATCCACAACTGCACACTTTATTACAGGGATAGTACTGTTGGAGCAACTATGGTGTTAGAATATCCTAATTATTCTCCAGCTCCATGAGTCACCCCACCTGGGATTTGAACTTGTGACCTTCAGATCACTAGCCCAGCTTCTGATTCAAGTTGAATGAGAGAGAATAAAACAAAACCAACGTACCGGCCCAAAATTCTTGGAGTCCACCTGGCGTGGGGCAGCTATGAGCCCAAACAATTCACATCTTATTCTCGGTCTTGTCACACCTTGAAAGAACAGTCATCCTGAGCCTGTTGCTTCTTGTCCTCCCCTCATCTCCAGTAATCAGATGCTCTGCTATGTCCTTTGTCAAGATTTGGCCCCAAGACTTTAAAATCCTGGGAGCACCCTGAGGGAATATCTGAGCCATGAAGGCAGCCATCCTTGTTTTAAACCCTGCCCTCTTACATGAGGCAAAAATAGAGGAATGTTTTGGTGAGACACTTTAAGGTGAACATTGTGCTACGGGATGGAAAGCAAATGTTGGTGGATTGGTGAGGTGGACAGACCTTTGGGCACATGGTATACGGCAGTATGCTGAAGCCAAGTAGGGGAGACAGTGACTGAAACCTGACACCTGCACAGTTGGGATTTGAATAGCAGTTGAGGCGGGATTGTTCCTCAAGCTTGGGGCCATGTCACTAGAGCTGGGATTTGAATGGGGCTATTTAATGGGGGGAGCTCACTTACGGGCATCAACGGGTGTGCTTGGTAAACCACCCAAAGGCAGTCTATTGGGAAGAGTTTTGCCCTTCTTAATCCCCAAGTTACCCCAAAGTAAGACAGGTGTTGGGTTTACTTAAAATGGATATAGACGCCCCTGTAATGACAGCTTATTAAATTACAAAGTGCTCCATAACTGAAGAAAGAATGCCTAATTAGCATAGGAAATCACCTCTATTTCTACCAATCATACTAAGGGTTAGGGATTTGAACAAATTTTGTTTCAAGAGTCATGACAATCCCCCCTCCCTGTTAATTTAATAAAAAACATAGATTGTATGTAGGCAATTCATACTGTACATGCAATGACTTGAGTACAGCTTTTTTATAATGAGCATGTGTGTAACCTGTTGTATGGCAAAGAATGATACCTCAAACCAGGGATGGGCAACTTTGGTCCTGGAGGGTCATTGTCATGCAGAGTTTAGATCCAACCCTGTTAAAAACTAACATGCCTGTAGCTTAGTAATCCTAAACTAAACTCTACTGGACAGTGGCCCTCCAGGACAGAAGTTGCCCACCCCTGCCTCAAATGATACTGTTTGTTGACAAATGGGTACTATTTGTTTTCTAATAAATTTGACTAATATTTTTAGCCTGGTGGACAATAAAACAGGCACTTAGGAAGTACCAGTCAAGAATGTAAAGTTAACTGCCCTAGCTAAGCTAGCATAGACAGGCTGACTCCAGCCATTGAGACAGTTATGAGATCACCTGTCTTTTTTGTAAATCTATAAAGTCATGACGTGTAGACTGAATCACAGACATGCTTAAAGTGAGTGGTCATAAATAGCCTATCAAGCGGCTACTAAAAAAGCAAGTGTTTGTTTACATAAACAGATAAGAGTTATCTAGCGTGGAAGGGTGCTGTTTCATATACACTCAGCTTATCAAGCTTAACACTGCTTGCTTTGGCAGACATTGTTTTAATGTTGCCATTGTCCAACACTCGTCAGAGCTGTTCACATACCCAGTTCTTACAATTATTACATCTCTCCCTAAACTTAATCATATACCAAACAAATTGTACGATAATGTACATGCCTCCCCCATGCAAGTATCAACCTGTAAGTGAATTGCATGCTGGTTTTGACTGGTTTATGCAGGTTAGTTTTGGTGTTGTGGTGCATAGGTGTTACCATACCTGGTAAACCTGTATCCAAAACACAACATATCCTGGTTGTGTTTTGTTTTTCTTTCCAGCAAGGATGAAAACTGACTTTTCCTGTTCTATCTACAGCTGACTACAAAGAGAGCTTCAACACAATTGGGAATATTGAAGAAATCGCCTACAATGCTGTGTCCTTTACCTGGGACGTGAATGAGGAGGCCAAGGTAAGTCATGTAGCACCAAGACTTAACTCATTGATTCAGACGTGGCACAGCAAATTTACAATGAATACGTTCTCCAGTGTGTGTTTTGGTTTTATGCACATCCTGCTTGCATTAATGGTCATCATGGGTGATGAATTGGCTGGTGTAGTTGTTTAGCTCAACCGAGGGTTCAGTTTCAGTCTGTCTACATCAGCACATCTATGTTTTGTCACAAACTCTTATTCAGTCTTATTACCACCATTGTGTGCGATACACAAAATGTTATTGAGACACAGGGTGGAGTGTTACGACATATGATATGTGTATTTTACACACATTAGTCTCTCTCCCCGGTTGTTGAACCCTCCCAAAGAGCCCTGTATAGCGTGACGTTTGGGATTCACAATTCCCTGCTGCATCTTCCCCAGTTCTGTCTATAAATTTAAACCTCTATTTTCTCCTGTACGTGTTCTCAGGTTTCACCTGTATGTTACTGACAGTAGGAAATGGACCAGGTCTGTGTACACGGCCAAATGCACACAAACCTGAGTCCAGATCCTCCCTGCCTCACAGGTAGAGTCCTGCCCTCCCATTGTGGCTCTTCTGTTGCAATACAGCTCAGTTCAAACACTCGCCTATACTCAACTAATTGCTCTCTACGCAAACATTTGCTTTTTATTGGGCCAACTCACACTGGTAATACCTATTAATATGGACTGTATGATGTCTTAGTGTAGCCGCCCTTGGACATATATAAGTGTATTCGTTTTTTTTTTTTTTTTAGTCCAAGCTCATGTAAAATAGGGTGTGCATGCAGTGGGGTGTGAAATGCTCTCAGTTTGATCTGATAAGCATCTCATACTCTGACCTAACATACTCTCAACTTTTATTACAAGTCCCTTCAAAGCTCTTCCCATCATGGCAGGCTGGAATGGAGGAAGCCATAAACTGAGTTTCTCCGTGAGCCATTGATCTGTGAGGTGGAAATGATGTCCTTGTTGGAGCGTGGAAAAGCTCAGTTTCTTTTTCAAGTGGTCCACAGTAGTTCTTTAAAATAACTGATTTTTATTATAATATATTTTAAAATGTAATGTATTCCTCTGTTGGAAAAGCTGAATTTTCAGCATCATTACTCCAGTCTTCAGTGTCACATGATCCTTCAGAAATCATTCTAATATGGTGATTTGCTGCTCAAGAAACATTTAAGTTGAAAACAGTTGTGCTGCTTAATATTTTTAATGAAACCAAGATAATTTTTTTTCAAGATTCTTTAGTGAATAAAAAGTAAAGAAAATTCTGAAAAAAATACAAAAAAATATTTTGAAAAAGAAATGTAACATTAGTAACATTATAAATGTCTTTACTGTCACTTTTGACATCAGTTTAATGCATCTTTGCTGAAAAAAGATCTTAATTTCTTTTAAAAAAATCTTTCTGACCACATATTTTTGAATGTCTGTAGTGTTAATCCAAATCGCTGTCCCAATTCTAATTCAGAATGTGCCCAGTTAGATTTCGATCAAAACTTAAATCATTTCCTACGCCATACAGTTCATATGAAGTTCTCCAATCCAGTTTTCTTACCATGCTGAGTTGTAGCATGCTTCACCTAACGATGGCCTCTTTCTTGTCCTCTGGCATTGGTAATGGTTGATTATATGAAACTGTTAATAACTAACCACATAAATATTTAGAGAGCAAGACTCTGTTCCAAACCTTTGAGGAGCAGAGGCTAAAACTGCATGTAAAGATGACATTTAAGATTAAAATGTGGTCTTACATTAATATAAAATGCATATTTACTTCAATCGGAGGATTTAGTATTCTGTTCAGATGAAACGGTATAGTTTTTAGTGTGTAGTCTTAACGTTGCTTTCTGTAGCAGTCAGTGGTACAGATAGACGTGTTGAGGCAGGCAACTGTTTTGCGTGTGTAGGTGGCTGGTGGGTGAAAAACAAGGTGCTCTTTCAACGGTCAGGATTGTGTAGGTCAAAGCTGTTAGAAAATATGAATATGGAAGTTCTTATGCAACTGTCTGTTACATGTGCATTTGGATGCAAAGTGTTGAACATACATTACATATACCAACCTCCCACAACACGCTAGTATAGTGGCAGAGACAGACACTTGTAAAAATGTAGTTTATTTGCTTATTTTGCAAACATACATTTTCATGGAGAACTGAACTGTTTTTGTCTTTTTTCTCTGATTGTTAGATCTTCATCACGGTGAACTGTCTGAGCACAGATTTCTCCTCTCAGAAGGGGGTGAAGGGTCTTCCTCTGATGATACAAATAGACACCTACAGCTACAACAACCGCAGTAACAAACCACTGCATAGAGCCTACTGCCAGATCAAGGTCTTCTGTGATAAGGTGAACCATGACCTTTAACCTTTGAATCTGTTTTTATATTATTATTCCAACATACTGTATGCTGTATCTGTGGAAGCAGTCATGGAGAACTGTTAAGACTGCAGTATAGAGCGCTGCAGTGATGACATATTTTTGTAGCTCGACCCCTAAGTTCACATCACTCACAATTGGATTTTTCCATTAGCTTTTGGATAATTGCAGAAAATAAGCTCTGTGACCAACTAAAGTTTATGATTCTTACATGTTTTGTTCATCATGATAATATTCAAAAATGAACTCCACTTTTGTGAATTTTGCAGCCTAAATACAATTGCTACCTAAATACACCACCATTAAACTTTGACAGCTCTTTCAGTCTTTATTTAGGAACATTTTCCCTGAAAGTTTGAGTTAAAATAGTTTGCAAGAGCGCAATTATAAAGACAGTGAAGCTGTGAAAGGGGACTAGTGAGTAGATGAGTTTATTTGTTCTCTGTGATGACGCTTAATTCCAGACAGCCTCTGTAGTCTCATTTAGACACTTGTTTAACCGCCTTTTTCAAAAAAAATCACAAGGGGGTATTACTGATGTATTTACAGTATGCCATTGAATAAAATGTGAAAATAATCACAATAAATCTTCATGAAAAACCCATTCAAAAAACTTCAGGACGCTAAAATCTCGTTCCTTTATTTTGCATGCATGATCACTTATTCTAATAAGCAGTGAATTGTTTTTACCTACAGCTTAAGTGGGTCAGTTGAATTCTGACATCATTTATGCTGTGTTCTTGGTCTTCAAACTCAGTAACTGTAGCGCCACCTTGTGGTTGTTCATTAATGTTACTCTTCACAGCCCTTGCAGTCTTCTAATTTCCTCTGTATGTCTTTCTGTCTTTCGGTCTGTGTTTGTGCGGCACAGGGAGCGGAGAGGAAGATCAGAGATGAGGAGAGGAAACAGAACCGCAAGAAGACAAAAGGTCTGAAGCACTGAAAGTTAAAAATATCTCCAATTCATAAACAAAAAGCTTTAAAGAACACAAGAAATGATTTTATAGCAAATTTCTTTGTTTCTTGATTATTTCTTCTTCTTTTGTATTGACATATTTTCTATCGAAATATGAAGTTTGTCCATTTGTTTTTAAATAATCAAGAGGCTTTAGATACATCACAGCCATTAACCATGATGTGTGGGATGAGTCACAACTTTAATTATCAATAACAGTTATTCTTACATGTTCAAATGACTTCATCTCATTAGGAAAGGATGGAGGCGTTGGGGCGGTTAATCTCCCGAAAAAGTGTGACGCCATCTTCTTTAAAATGATGACTGATTTGGATGCTCAGCCGGTTCTCTTTATCCCGGATGTGCACTTTGGAAACTTACAGAGGGCAGGCCAGGTATGAGTCAGTCTGAAAACGGAAAACACACTCAATGACCAGATCACACGCTCTTTTGTGTTAAGCATCCTCTGCCATTTTGCAGACGACCATAATTGCAGTCTCCTAGTCTGCCCTCAGCGTTTGCTTCCTGAAATCTCAAAAAGGTTGTAGAGGCTCATTACAGAACTGTCCTGAAGACCTTAGCATTCCATTGCGTGTCTAATGAGACTGAGACTTATTAGAGAGTGACTGACCTTTCAAAACCTGACATGAAGCATGGGAGTATCTTGGATACTTAGGTGACATTTGTTTATTAGGAATGACATCTGCTGAACTGGTCACTGTAGTGTCTGTTTTGAGGCTCGTTCTGAATGTTACAGAGATGTTTGAGTATATAAATGTTCAAAGGAGATAAAACTACAAACTTTGTACTCTTTGCAGGTATTTGCATTTAATACTGAGGAAATTGAACGAGAGGGGTGAGTTTAATCTTTTTCTCAATATTTCAGCTGCAAACCAGAAAAAGATATTCTTGGATCAGAACTGAATGAACATCACATCACATCACCTCAGATTTACTAGTAGCATTGACACAATAGTAGATTATAGGGGTCTTCTAACTATTCACACTAATGTTTAATGTAAAAGAAATGATTCAGTGTTAAACGTAGTGATTTAAGAATGTTATTTCCTCCATAACATTAAAGGGTTAGTTCACCCAGAAATGAAAATTATCACATAATTTACTCACCCTCAAGCCATCCTAGGTGTATATGACTTTCTTCTTTCAGCCGAACACAAGAGTTACATTAAAAGATATCCTGGCTCTTCCAAGCTTTATAATGGGAGTGATTAGTAACTGAGATTTTGAATACCAAAAAAGCACATCCATCCATCATAAAAATAATCCGGCTCCAGGAGGGTTAATAAAGGCCTTCTGAAGTGAAGCAATGCGTTTTTGTAAGACAAATATCCATAATTATAACTTTATAAACTGTCCGTCTGCTCGTTCACGAGAGAGTCGAGTTCCGGCCGAAGAGTGACCTCTGACACGACGTATGACGTAAGATGTAGTAGTAGGGTAGGGTAAGCTTAGGTGAGAGCGACGCCTCTCGCGATTCAAACAAATAGGGCTGGGCAACAAACTCAGGGCCCTCTGACATTTCTCTTTAAAAATTCTCGTTTTAGACTTCTAATTCGTGACCGGTGTTTTTTTTGCTCTATCCTCTGCGCTTCCGCGTTCGTCAATGCGTCATGCGTCGGCCAGGTCAGAGGTCACTCTTTGGCCAGAACTCGACTCGCGTGCTTAAGCCAGTGATTCTAGTTTATAAAGTTATATATATGGATATTTTTCTTACAAAAACGCATCGCTTCGCTTCAGAAGGCCTTTATTAATCCCCTGGAGCCATGTGGATTACTTTTATGATGGATTGATGCTCTTTTGTGGGCTTCAAAATCTCATCAAGTTATTATTCACTCCCATTATAAAGCTTGGAAGAGCCAGGATATTTTTTAATATAACTCCGATTGTGTTTGGCTGAAAGAAGAAAGTCATATACACCTAGGATGGCTTAAGGGTGAGTAAATTATGGGATAATTTTCATTATTGGGTGAACTAACCCTTTAATCATACAATCTTTGGCTTATTATTAATGGCTTATGATTTTTTTTGCTGGGAATTTATAATCCTTCATCTACTTATAATGAATGATTTATTTGTATGTTTAGATCCTATTATTTTAGAGTATAAACAATATAATTCACATACACTTTAAGAAGATATTAAATATATATACAAATATTTTAAATTGTAGCCTATCTTAAATCTTAAAATAGTCTCATAGCGCACTACTGCACTTGAAAAGGAGAAATAAATAGTGTATTTTGTGACATTTCTGTATTCGCTTTAAATTCCTTTGGATATCAATATTGAAATTTAATGATTGAAATTAAGGGTACTTTTACACGACACAGAGACGACAACATTGTCAAAACAATCCCTGTTCACACAGAGATCTGTGGAAACGACTAAAAACACTGTATTATTCTGCCAGGCCAGTAGTTGGCGATGTCACTTTGTTAAGAAACACTACGCACCTATAGACTGAACATGTCATATGCATGCGCATGACGTCACCAATTTCACAAATTCACGTTTTGTAGTTTACACGGAGACAATAACTGTATCGTTGCAAGAACTTGCAATTTTGAAACCCATTTTCAACAGTTTGCAGGCCCTCAAAACGCTGTTGTCGTGTTAATGAACAGCCAAAACGCATAAAATATTTTCCATTTTTAGTTGGAAAAAAACAGTGTTGTGTAAATCTGATGTCACTGTATTTGTTTGTGTGTTTGTGTTAGAAGTGTGCTGGTAAAGAGGATGTTCCGGTCATCTGAGGATGACTTCTGCCCACCGCCTCATAAACAGCTAAGAGAGGAGACACAGAAGAGAGGTCAGAGAGGTCACACATTTATAGATGAAGTGTCTATTTTTCCAAAAAGCATAACTATTTTACAAGGTGGCGATTTCGTATGAATTAAGTGATCATGATCCCATGAACGCACTCCTAAACATAATCGTCACGTTAAAATTGAGAAATGTACAAATTCATACGAATTAGTCACCAATTTGACAAAACGTAAAATGGATACGAATTGCTATGAGATTGTGTTGGCATTTTCTACTGTACTATACAGAATTGAAAAATAAAAAATAGTTTCCAAACGCCCACAAAGGCCATAAACAGTACCCAAAAATTCTCTAAATCTCCTGAAGCCTCTATGGGATTCTGTATGTATGGAATCTTTTTTTTTTTTTATATATATATTTGGTGTTGTAGCACAGAAATTTCATATTTCAAATTTATGTTATGTTTATTTTAAAGAAAGATGTAAGGTGATTGTACTTTACTATACTATTTCCATGACTGTATGTTTTTACAGTGCTCTTGTATGTGAGGAAGGAGTCAGATGAGGTGTTTGATGCTCTAATGCTGCGGACGCCCACTCTCAGAGGACTCATGGATGCAGTGAGTATCTGTTGCTATAGGGGGCGCTCTACTCTAAATTACCCAAGCATTGTTCTGATATGTCAAATGGTTTGTTGTCAAATGCAACAGTTCATCGATTTGAAAATGAAATTTCAGTGGAAAGATTTCACATTTTTCTTCAAAAAAAGTAAAGTAAAGACAAAGTAAAATCAAAATAACATCCTTTACCATTTTCAATAGTATAAATCCAAAGCCGGATCCAAATCTACTTTCTGGTGAAAATTGTCCCTCAAGTTATGTGTCTTCAGCATATTTTTAAAACAATTATCACCAAACTATCCAGATCAATAAAAAAATACACATATTTTATGATTTATTATAAATAATCCAAATCAAATCATTGTAATTTTGTGATGCTCTGATAAACGATTGACTGATGATTTCTTTCATATCGACAGATTTCTGAGAAGTATGGTGTTCCCATTGACAGAATGGTCAAGATTTACAAGAAGAGCAAGAAAGGGTAAGTAATTGATTGAGAAAAAAAACTACATCATAAGAGTACGTATATGTACAGTAAAATGCACATGACAAGTAATAAGCCCATTTTGACTTTGTTTATTCCCTCCATTGCAGGATCCTGGTGAACATGGATGACAATATCATTGAGCACTACTCTAATGAGGACACTTTTATCCTGAGTATCGAGAACTACGCAGATGCATACAAAATCACATTAATGGAAATATGAACTTCTCGTGTGTTTCTAACATTCAGTGTGTTTAAGCTAAAAGACTTGTTACTTGGACTCCAACCTGGTCAAATTCATCGTCAGCTGTCCACACATTGAATTGACATCGGCAAATGCTGATATACCTCATTTTTAAGAGACCTCAAGTATGATTTTTAAAGGGTCAATAGGAGTTTCAGTGCGTCCCAAACATTTCCAGGATTTCACTGTTCTAGTGTGGATGTAAAGACTTTTGCTAGTTGAATTTGTCCACAGGATTCCTCATCGGTGATTATTGCCTTTCTGTTGACTATTTCACATTTCACTTGAGTTTGGAGACCCTAAATTTCAACAGTACCTTCATAAACTGGAGTGGAAATGAAATACCAAACACCTTCATCATAAATCATCATAAATGCAACAATAGTGTCCATTGAAATTACAATGCTAAAATACATTTGCATGCAGCAAAAATATGATTTTAGGACTTTTCTGTGGAATTTGAGACTCTGCAGAGCTATTGATCTGTGAAAATTGTCCATTACTGTAAATATTATTTTTAATTGGTTTATTATGTTGTCATTAATATTATTATATATTTTTTTAGCCTGGTAGATATCATTTAGGTCTGAATATTCACAAACATATTTTCTGATGCACAAAGAAAGCTTTTTTTTTTTTTTACTCTGCCACACATTTTGTATGCTTAATAGTGCAAAACAGGAAATATGAATGAATAATGTCTACAGTATAATAACTGTACAATACTGCATTATCAGAATTTTTTTTTAAATGTGTTGCTCAGATACATTTCAGCCATGTTTTACGTGTTGCACTCATGTTTTAATGTGGAAATAATTTTTTAGAGGTTCCATTTATTTCAAATGCAAGAGATTTCATGACCTTTGAGGAGGTTTGAATCAGCCAAGGTCTTTCCCAAACTATTGTCTTCTAGTGTTTGTGTATGACAGGTGCATATTAACTTTGTAGTCCAGATTCAGTCGATCAGTGTCATGATGAGCTGTTTATGTTGTAATGTTTGAATATCATTGTCTTCCAAAACAAAATTATGTAAAAGGGCACTTCGGAAAATAATAATTTGTATGTAAATAAATGCATTTTTTATCAAGTTTTGACCAAAGATTTTTCATTCTACACTTAACCCTGATGTAATGGAAACTTTTAATGTTAATGAGAATTTCACACAAGAAGTTTGTCAAACCAGGGTTTAAAAGTGATGTTCATGCAAGACCATCAGACACAGATTCATTTTCTTTCTTTAATATTTTTATTTATGATATAACCAAAACAGATGCCTGTGTTTATAATGTCCACACTCACACAATGTACACGTTACCATATAAAATCTACAAAATGATAATGACAAACATTTAGTTTGACAGATAACAGCTGTACAGCATAAAGTGATAGAACACTGTTTGTTTTGCCATATTTATATTTATCTGTGTTTGGCACTTGACCACATGTTGCTGTCTTGTGCGGTTTAGAATGCCAGATGCTAAATAATTTTGTTTTAATGAAGGAGAATCTACAAACAACAACATTTTTTTCCTTTTGTCATTAGTTTTTAATTCAAGCTCCTTCACGAATCGTTCTGATCAGCATGTGGCTGAAGAACGTTTGATCATTACAGCCTTGACTTCACAGCAAATTCAGTGGAAACCACAGAGTTTCTGATGGCTATCCCATCATACACATGGCCTCAAATAAGATGTGGTTTGCGTGTGAGCGAGTGTTTGTGTGTTTATAAATGGACGGTGGATTTGCATTACACAAAAAGCATATGTCATCCACACCACAGGCCCTTGCATTTCAAAACATAGTCACCCTGAGGATGTGCAGACATATACACATTAATATTCTGTCCAATACGCTCCAATTGTCTCTCCATAGTCAAGTCACTGACAGAATGCTCACAAGTCCTGACCGAAATGTATGCATAGACAAACACTGGATAAACACACGAGTACTCAAAAAGCACCACATACATACATACCACATACATGAAAATGCAGAGAATACATTCAGTTTGACCAATATGTATTATGTGCAAAATGATTTGAGCTGTTATTTTACCCAGGGTATAAAAATAAAATACTATGGCCAAGATTCAGTCAAATTTGAATTGGCTTTAGCATGTTGCCAATTGTAATATGTAGTATTTTGTTGGTGGTGTGGGCCGAACATTGACTGAATCAAGGTCTGGATAGAGCAGAAAGTGTGCTAGAAAGCTGAAGTGAATCTGTTGGCCGGCTATAAATGCGGCAGGGTTTCATGGTCTGTTGTGTATGCGCATAGTAATGTGTTGTCTTCACTGCTCATTGCCACAGTCATACACAGATATGCTTTTACTGTACAAATGATTATTTGAAACAGAAGAAAATGTCATATTTCAATAATAGCAGTTTCATAATGAAAAGCTTTTCCGTGGTGTGATACATTTTTATCACCCACCAAGTTAAACCATATTTACTGTTTATCTACAATTTCTTTGTCTAATACTTTTTCATGTTTCCTCTTTTGAAGCAGCAAAAGTCAATATTATTGTCATCCCTATGAAAATATTACTTTGTAAAATGACATTTTCCAACTATTATTGTCAGTCCTATGCATCAAGTATTAATGTTTAAAAAATATTTGTAATAATTATTATTTTTTGTATTTATTTTTAAACATTATACTGGTGCTCATAAAAGGAGCACCATCATGACCAAATTTGATCCCAACCATCCCTTTAAGATTTTCTATCACAGGCTCTGTCATCATAATGTTGAAAAAAAAAAAAAAAAAAAAAAAACTTTAAGTAAAAAAACTCTGTGTCACCCAAGCGCCCCTTTTAAATAGATGTACAGTATGTGCTGAATGGAATTGAAGTACTAGGAACACTAGGAATGACAATAGTTATTGTGTGTGAAATGATTTAATTTAGAAAATTCTTAAAAATAATTATTAAAAAAACTATAGTTTGGTGTTTAGAAAGCATATGCAATCTGGGATTTTTGACGAAATGTGTGTGTAAAATGATTTAATTTAGTAAATTCTTAAAAATAATTATTAAAAAAACTATAGTTTGGTGTTTAGAAAGCATATGCAATCTGGTTTTTTTGACGAAGTGTCATATTATCCCATGCTTAGAACATTTTGCTTCAGCTCCCTCTCGAACCTCTGTTAATTTTTAAAGCTCTTTTTGAGAGGGTTTATTTCAGTACCAAAATTTTACAACAGGATGCGATGTCACTTGCATCACTGCCTAAAAAGCCTTATGTGAGGAATTCACAGAGAGACACATGTACACCAGCTTCTTAGTGTGCATGGCCTCTGTATATGAGTTTCTGAACGTTACCTGATGTGTGTCTGTGGGGAAAAAAATAGTTGCATGTTTCCATGCCTGGTGTTCATTGGGAAACCCACAGACACTCAGATAGGGGTGTAGTTTTGGAGTCCAGGCTCTGACCAAACAAAAAGACTTGTGTAAGAGAGGTTATGAAAGTAGCGAGACGCTGTTGATTCACTGGCCGGCACTGCTGGGATCGCACTGCAACAGTCGCACGATGGATGGGTCGTTCTTTGCTCCCTCTACAAACTCTTCGAGTGACAGCTTACCTGAGGGAGAACAAAGGGTCAAAGGTAAAAATAAAAAAAACAGCGTTTGTCTGGTTAGCATGAGTCATTTAGCCATTCGAAAGCACTTATGTATTTAGACAAAGCTATTTATTTTTTTGAGGAAAATCAGAATCTCAAAAATACCAGAATTAAGTACCTCTTTAAATGTGATGTTTTCATAATTACTTTGAAATATGGTTAGTGTACTGTCAAATGTACTGACAAGAATTTATGACTATACTATAATATACTATTTATACATAATAAAATACTATAATTATATATAAAATATAATAATATAATAATATACTAAATATACTATAGTGTATTTGTAATTACACATTTGTTATGAAGTTTCAAATGAGTAATCTCTGTCTATCTATCTATCTATCTATCTATCATACAGACACACACAGTATATATATTTTGATATATATATATTTCAGTAAAATATGTTAGTCACATCAAAACAAGTTTCCTTTTCAAATCATGACAAAATATTATTAAAACAATGATTTGTACTGTATGAAATTCATCTTCAATGAAAATGTACTTTAAAGTAAAATTTTAATCTGGCATTATTACTAAGTGCACTTTTTAATTCTAAGTGTACTTCAGTGTGTTAAGAAACAGTCATGAAAGTATGTTGCCTTTTATTACATTAATTTGATTGGTTTACAAGGGGGTAGAAAGCTCACCATCACGATTTGTGTCCATCTGGCGGAAGATCTTCTCTGTGCGTTTCTCAGGCGTGGACTCGTCCTCTGGCATCTTCATCACTGCAGATACCATCTTATAGATGGCCTGAAGAAGACACACAAAGGATTTCAGTTACTTTGGTGTTAGCATGCTGCTAAGTACGCAGCACTCTAGCACGCATATATTCTAAACCCATTGCAATGCATTGTGAGGCATTTTGGGATTGCAATGCAATGGGATGCAATGCTGCGTTAGGATTTGCTAGCTTTTGGTTTAGGAGTGCACCTATGATGCGGTTACAGTCAAAACAGGCACTAAAAGCTGCCTTTTGTAAATCTTATTAGAGAAAATTAGAGGACTCTGGGTATGATTTGGAACTGGAGCCATCACTTCGTAACTATTTCAAAGTAACCATAGCGACTGCTTTTCTCAGGTAATTGAATGAATTGAAAAGGAAATTACAGCCATTTGTGTGCACTCAGCTGTCAGATTCAGGGAGTGCACTTAGGAAGCTGACACATCTCACCAATTGCTACAACGGTGTGAAATTTACCTAAATACGAGCAAAAATAATTGCCTGCTGCTGCTGCACTCAACTCTCCCTATCTGTGCAAAACATCATGCACAAATGAATATGCTATATGAAGTAACCTACTTTTTTTATTTTAAAAAACAAGGTAATAAGGCACAAGCCAAATCCATTTGCCATGTTTATTCACTGAATGGGAATAGCTGAAATATATATTAATATACACAATAAGGTTAGAAAATATCTCTTCTGTATGTATTAAAAACCAAAGGAAATTTGTACACAATGGTTGATTGATAATGTTGTGTCATTTTTGGTGGTTTGTGGAAGCTTCTCATAATATAGGCACTACTTTAATAAGGTTGTGATAAAACAGAGGCTAAATTGACAGCTAATTAATTGAAATCAGCACAATCTACATTTATGTTCAAAAGACACGTCTCTGAAACGTGCCTAAGCCGACATAAAGTGCTAGTTTTCAGTGTAAAGTTTTGATCCAATCAGAGAGTTGAATTTTAAACCAATCAGATTTTATTGTAAGTGGAGTGACAATCAACTTGCCTCATGGTGCGTTCTATTATTTATCCGTCTCGGAGATCCGAATCGGAAGACAGACGTTGCGTAGCAACACGCCCCCTTTCCTCGGATTTCTCCTCTCGGACGTCGGACAACCGTGAGGACACCGAGCAAGAATTCCGTTTCGGAATTCAAGATGGCTGCGCCCTGTGTGACTTGTAAGTATGAATTGTTTTCATTGTTTTTGAACCGCTTTGGTATTTTAAATGACGATTATAATCACTCGTATTACTGCGTCCCCTGTAGGTATGGGAATCGGTTGTTGTGAGTGCAATTACTACGTTGCTAGCGTTGCTAACAGAAGATTAACATGAAAAACATGAAATAAAGTGAACATTTTCAAGTTCAAGTTCTTCTCCTCTGTGTTCTGTAAGGTGAAGCACATACTTATTTTGGAGCGCCTGGTACTCGGCCAGTGCTACCATTACAACGGGTGGCGTCCATTTTTTTCTCCGACTCGGACGCGCAAAACATAATAGAACGCTTGAAGTGTGGACGTGACGTCATATCCGAGGTCCGAGTCAGTTCGTTGGCTATAATAGAACGCACCATTAGGTCTATATAGTTTGGACAAAAACTCAGACAAACACTAAATGGTCACTACTAATCATTTCGGTTGCACTTTATTCTGATGGTCCCTTTAACACATTCTGTTGACTTAGTAACGTTGCACAGGTCTACGAACTTTCATTAGAGTGTTAGTATATTAGTAGACTGGTAGGGTTAGGGCTAGAATAAGTTGACATGCAGTTGCAAAGTTATAGTTAATGTCTGTTTGAGGACCACAATAAAGAGTTAGCAGATATTAAGCAGACAGTCTACTAAAACTCTAATCAGAGTTACTGTAGATGACATGTAGTTGCAAAGTACTTCTAGTCAACAGAATGTTCAAAAGGGACCATCAAAATAAAGTTTTACCATAATTTCTACTGTCGTATTGCTGACTGTCACTTATATCTCCACAAATGATAGCCTAAACTTAAAAATGAATGTTCATTTTTGTTTCCCCGCCGAAAGAAGAAAGAAGAAAAAGAAAGGAAAAAAACTTTGTCAGGAGACGTCTGTAATGTTTCAACCGAGAGTGATACAGAATCACACCCATAAACTCACACACACCTGTACAATCTCGAGCATTTCCGCCTTGCTTATGTATCCATTGCCATCCAAATCGTACATACTGAAGGCCCACTTTAGCTTCTGATCCAAACGGCCGCGTGACGTGACGCTCAGGGCAATGATAAACTCTCTGAAATCTATTGTTCCATCTCCGTTGGCGTCGAAGGTTCTGAAGACGTGCTCCGCAAACTTTGACGCGTCTCCGTAGGGGAAAAAGTTGCCATAGATCTTCTTAAATTCTTCCATGCTGAGCGCACCGCTGGGGCAGTCCCGCAGGAAGCCCTTGTACCACTCCTGGATCTCATGCTCGGTGAAGTCTGTGTTATCCAGCAGGTCCTGTATCACCTCGGGACGGAGTTTGCTGTTCTGCTTTCCCATGTTGATGGTCTGGTTTCAACTAAAGGAGAAAAAAGAGAATAACTGTTTTTTAAATGTCTAACAGTAAGGTACTCTTAAGTAAATACGCTTATCTTAGCCTTAGCAAATACGAACCTTTGTGAAAAAGAAGCATACTTTATCATACACCTAATTGCATGTTAATTAAAATTAAAAATTAAAAGGCTTTATAGTTTACATTTATATTAAATGCAATAAGCTGAATTTTAGAGTGCTTTTTTTACCCTCTATATGTAGGACTTAAGTTCATCTTTATAAGTCGCAGTTTAGTACATATAAAATAAATTAATAAAATAGTAAATTACGTAATATCAAGTAACAGTTAAAATTATAATCAAGTGCTTTACATGTGCTTGAATATGTTAGTCAACACATCAAAATAAACAAAATGATTTACAATGCACTTGACATTGTTACAAAGTAGCCTACACAACTTTTCAAATAAGTGTGTTAAGAAACAGACGAAAGTGCACTCTCTTTAACCCTCTGGGGTCCTTCATTTCAGAGTCACACTCAGGACCTTCGGGTCCAAATGGGCCGGAAGGGTGGGATTAATATTTATTAAAAAAAATCATCTTTTTTTTTTTTTTTACTTGTTTTTTATAATATTTTTTCTTTTCTTTTTTGGTGTTTTGAGATAATTTCAAAAAAAAAAAAGATTTATAATTAATATTAATGCAATAATTATGACCCATTTTTTCCCCATTGAATATAATAGAAATTAATTATTATTTATTTTTTTTTTTTTTTAAAGCTGTATTTCATTTTAGAGTCAAGCCTAGGCCTCATGAAAGCAATTTTTGAAATGAGATGGATGCCATCTGGTGGACAAACTGAGCATTTTAAAAATTCAAAACCCATATGTAATCTGAATTTATTAGTGTGTATGTGTATAAAAGTGTGTTTGTGTGTGTGTGTGTGTGTGTGTGTGTGTGGATGTGTCTGTTTTGCACTCTTGATGTTTTATAGATTCACCCCTTCACTGTTGTGTGCTTTTTTTCTGGATTGTGGCTGATTTGTAGTTTGTACGCACAAAATAACTCTGTATTTTCACATTTTTGCCAATTTCCCATTCATTTCCTATGCGGGTCCATTTGGACCCGAAGGTCCTGAGTGTGACTATTTTTTTTATAACCACTTAGACTATTCAAATCCTGTCCCCAATTTTTTTGGGTGTTCATATGCCAAGTACCAACAAAGTCACCAAATTTCGGACCATTCCGATAAAGCAATGATTTAAAAAAAATAAATATTTAAATGCTTCGGGTCCATTTGGGCCGAAGGACCCCAGAGGGTTAAGTAGCCTTTTATTTTATTAATATAAAAAAATCTGTTTTTAGATTTGAAGTAGGCTACACTACAAGTGCACATTCATTACAATTAAGCACACTTTTTTTCTGAAACAGGTTTAGCTTTTATAATTGGGGTTCACACATTCAAGATCATAAAAATAATTCATAGCCAAGAAACAATGCAGTGGTTCTCGACCTTTGACCCCCTTGTGGTTTGTTTTAGCAAGGGCACACTTGATGTTTTATCCTGTTTTAATACTTGTTTTGTCTTATCTTAAGGTTACATATTATGCCCCTTCTCACAAGATATAATTTAAATCTACGGTGTCCCTAGAATGTGTCTGTGAAATTTCAACTCAAAAGATATTACCCCACAGATAATTTTTTATAGCATGCTAAAACGGACACTATTTGTGTGTGAGAAAAAACGCGCCGTTTTTGTGTGTGTCCCTTTAATGCATATTAGCTGCTGCTCCCCTCCCCCATTCAGAAGATGGCTGATCCTTCATCCTTTACACCACCAGAGCCGTTGCTTTACACGAGCTTCGGATACAACAACAAAACACGCGAATAATCTCACTCATCCAAAATCTCAGAAATATCCAGAGACACTCAGGAAGAAGTTGCAACCTTTAGACAGCACCTGGAATTTTCTGAATGGTTAGTGGATACATTTATGTAGGCTATTGTTGTGGAGATTTCTTGCCATTTGTAAAAAGGCATTTGTTGTGCACATCTCGTCGACTTGCATGTTTAACTTTTTTTTACACAAGTTGACACAGTTCCCTGAGGTCTTTATATGACAGTTGTGACATTTTTTGGTCAAGTAGTGTTCTGTGCTTGTTTGTTCAGCCAACGACAGAACAGTCTGCATACTTTGCTCCAACTTTTGCCATTAATTACAACTGGTTACACTCTTGTCGCTTGCGAAAACCAAATGGCAGTGGCTTGGGTGGAAACGTGCCGATTAAGGGGCGGTAATATTATAATAAGATCCCCTTCCTACATCAGAAGGGGAGCAAAATCTGATTGGCTTAATTTTTGACATGCTTGCAAAGAAAGGATTACCAAAACAAAATAACTGGGTTGTCACTTTTCATGTTTTCTGGGTTGGTAGATGCACCGGGGACCCTTTTATAGCACTTAAACACGGAAAAAGTCAGATTTTCATGATATGTTCCCTTTAAAATATTCTTTCTCCAAGACATCAGTGGAATTAAATGGAGACTTTTCCTTACATGAGCAGTATCTCAGATTTGTATCATAAGAAATCCCCTGTGTTCTCACGTTAAGAGATCTCAACAATCTGTGCTCAGATTTGCCAAGATACCAAAGAATGCAATTAATAGTCAGAGATCTCAATATGTAGGTACTCAAACTTTTCTCATCAAATTTTTTCCAGATCACTGATCTGACATTTTTATTCGCATACATTCTATAGTTCAACAATTTTCTCATAAGTGTCTATTTCTCCTTTTTTAGAGACAAATATAAGATTCTCAGTTTTAGTCTCATGAGCTCTGCAATAAACATACACAGCAGAAAACAGCAATGTTGCATTGCCTAAACCCTGACGATACGAGCCCCTTGTTGTAATTGTACTATATGTATGCAAAACACACATATCTGCCACATATCGAAAATTTCTCTTCCTTTTCCCATCTGTCAACTGAACTTTCCGCTGGTAGACCGCAGTGCATGCTTTCACCTGCTGCATTGTGTCTCTATGTGTGTGTGCAGCTGCACCAAAATCATTTCCTGATGCAAATCTCTTTTAAAAACCCACGTGCCTGCCATCTTACATACATATATGATCTCGAGAGCACATATTAGGGTATTCTATGAAATCATTGCTTTTTCCTGGTTCATTTTAATACAGCAAGGAGAAGCTGCAAACATCCTAATGATGTAAGGGGAAAAAAAACATTCAAATAATGTCTGTATTACCAATGCATTAAGTAATCACAATCAAAGTTATTTTTATATATGCATAATATTTATGTCAGGCACACAAATGGCATGTACAACGACTCTTTATTCTCATCCACGTCCACTGAGATGAGAGTGGATGGAGGGTGATGGGGGACAAAAAATAACACTAGGGAGATTATAAGATCGAGAAACTGAAACTCCTCTTGTAAACAGGAAGCAGTCCATCAGTTTGCCTTTCACTGCTCCTCACGTAGCGCATGTGACCGTCCTGCCCGACACTATATATAGTGTTTATTTATCTTTTATTTAACAAAATGATGTGAAAAAAGTGAGAGGAAAAATAATTAAAAATAATGAAATGTTAAAACTCTTTGAACTTTAGTGCACATTTATCTGTCCCACATCTGTTTCTCTCTCGCCTACAGTATGTGCTTGTGGGAAACTGTCAGTCATAAATGGTGAAATATCTTTGAAGGTGAAATTAATTAGTCAAATGAATGTCAAGAAATAGTTTTAAAGATATTAATCATACCAGTCAGAAAGTTTTCTTTTCAGTTTTGGTAATTTCTGTTAAAATTTTAGCATAATATTAATTTAGCTTGGCCCCTTATAATACACTACTGTTCAAATGTGTAGTGTTTTTGTTGAAGAAATGAATGCTTCTATTCAGGAAAGAAATACTGAATTGATCAAAAGTGACAGTAAAGACATTCATAATGTTACAAAAGATTTCTATTTTAAATAAATGCTGGTCTTTTGAACTTTCTATAGAGAGCCTAAGTCCCTCCCCTTCCGGTGGACCACTATGGGACCTTATTTTGGAAAAATATTGTATGGTAGTCAATGGTGAGAGACAACAAATATTTTTATCTCGTTTGAATTGTGCCCTGAATTACACATATGATGTTTGTCAATTTAAAAGATATATTTTAAAGTCAAGAAAGTAGCAGTTTGATGTAAAACTGTTGAGGTATAAGACTGTGAAAAATACGTAATTACAAAGACTACAAACCCAAAAGGCGCATATGTGACATCATACCTTTTCTCTCAATGAATGAAGCTAACTTTATTGAAGCTAACGTCTGTAATTTTTGTCTATAGTCTTACGCTATAATCGCAACGTTACGCCGTCATGCCTGAGTGTTTTGCACCAGACTGCACACATATGAGCAACGGATCTTGCTCGTTGTTTCGCTTCCTGGGAGATGTAGTTCATTGAGCGATTTTCACATAAAACTAAATGTTACTCTTCTGTTTTATGACAAACTGCGACTTTTTTGACGTTCATAATTATCTTTTAAATTGACAAACATCATATGTGTAATTCAGGGCACAGTTCAGATGGAATAAAAAGATAAGTTGTCTCTCGCCATTGACTAACATACATATTTTTTTCCGAAATAAGGTCCCATGAGCCGGAAGCGGAGGGGAGGGACTTAGGCTCTCTATTCATCAAAGAATCCTGAATAAAAAAATGTATCACAGTTTCTACAAAAATATGAAGCAGCACAACTGTTTTCAACATTGATAATAATAAAAACTGTTTTTTGAGCAACAAATCCGCATATGAAAATGATTTCTGAAGGATCACGTGGCAATGATGCTGAAAATTCAGCTTTGCCATCACAGGAATAAATTACATTTTAAGATATATTAAAATAGAAAACAGTTATAGTAAGCATAACAGTAAGCATTATGCTTTTGTATAGTAAGCATAACAAAAATCTTACTGACCCCAAACTTTTAAATGGTTAATTTTATTTTATTTTAACTTTGA